TATAGGATGTTTCAAGTCTTTAATTAATTCATTGTTCTTGTAGTGTAAATCATTCAAAAATTGTTGTCATTCATATTTAAAGTGTTTATGGAGAAAAAAAAATAGATTTTCAAGAAAACATTTGCAAAATAATCCAAAAAATGGCCATTTTGGGACAATTTTCATAGAATTCCATGTAAACACATTATTTCATGTATAACTTATGCTAATTTTCAAAATTCTCCCATTTTTTTTGTCCTCATAACACTACATATAATTTATTTATCGTACTTCACCGAACAAAAATTTGAGATGATGAAAAATTTCTGCCATAGAAACCTAATTGTAAACTGTTATGTTTAAACAATTTTTGCAATCGTTTTGTGGAAAGCTAAAGTTTGATGACCTCATATTTTTATTTCAGAATTTTGTACAGGATTTCTTATGATCTTTAAAGTGCCTGTGCAATGCCTATCCCCCACACGCTTCCCATTTTAGATCTGTGCCCCATTGAAATGGGCAATTATTGATTTTTTTGCTGAAAATGATTACTCCTATCCAAGTAAATTTGAGATATTTCCTGTGCTGTAGCCACGCCTCACCTATCCTGAAACGGTCGACTTTTTCCGGATTTTCGACTCTTGTCAAAAGTTCGCCACCAAATGCAAAAATATGAGAGGAAGCCATACCCCTGGGCCGTACTTTTATATCACTGTGTCATTCAACGTACAACTGTACTTTTAAACGATATACATTTTTTAATCGGCGTTTCTTTTGTCTATTTTACTTTATTTTTGAGAGAGCAAATTTTTAGAAGTTGTTTTCACAACAAACTTTTATGATGGTTGTGTTGTGGGCGGTTGCACTAATGCATATAGTCATAGTGTAAGTATTTACACGTTTCCATTCGATGCGAAGGTGCGAAATCGGTGGACGAAAGCCGTGAAAATAACGAGAAAAGTTTGGGGTGGACTTCCTCCAAACAGCATCATATGCAGTGTCCACTTCACCTCAGATTCTTTTTTTTTTGAAAAACTGTGCTTGTCCATGACAAAACAACTGGGTTTTAACGAAAAATGCCGACAATACAAAACGTTTTCAAAAAAATAGATTCTGGACCAGCCCATGATCACTGAGACAGATTTAAGAAGGAAGAGAGACGTTGAGTATGTGTTTCAAATGATTTGATTTTTCTTGCGATCCTGATTATCGCTTTATAGAGACCACCCGTGTTATGTAAAAGGTAGCAGAAATTTTGATGACACAAAAACAAAGCGTCGGACAAACAGGAAATTACGCAGCCCTCAGGCTGTTTTCATTTTCGCAGACTAAAAGTGTCTGAATTGTTCGGTTATTGGTATTGAATGTCGAATTCACACCTTTGTTGCCTTTACTTGCAGCTTGATCGGCGTAATAATTTACCGAATAAGAATCCGGGCTTGAGCTGTCAATGTATTTTTTTAATATGTCATAATTATGAAAATCACACTAAATCCACTCTGAATTTGTCTGTATGTGAGTCGCTCTCAATTATTTTTGTTATCCAATTAAACGCCACCACTTGTCCCCTTCATGACCTGACGCGTTCACCCATCACAACGCGGCAGTCATTTAATTAGTAACTGTGTTTTGTCGTTTTTTTAAAATTATTTCTCTATTGTATAAATCAATAGTGTCTAGTAACCTGCTAAATAACAAGACAATTCAAGCGTCAAATTTGATTTTGTCCAATGCCGGAGTCCAGCGACAGTGTACAAACGTGCTCCGATGACGGTTATGACCACGGTGACTAGCTACACCAGACCGAACATATTTCGCATCTGATTCAACCCCATGCAACAAACTTGATACTATGTGTTCATTATGGTCCATTCTTATTCGACGAACAAGTACATAAGTGGCAATTTAGTTAAAGACGAGAAAACAGCACAAGAAATTCGCCTTATTTACACGTATCGGCAATGCAAGCTACCCAGCAACTTCCCCTTCTGACGTCACAGGGGGAATTTCTGTATGCAAATAAGAAGCTAATGAGGAGCCTCGTTTTAAAATACACAAAAATAAAGTTGCTGTAGACCAAGTTTAAAACGCATTTTTTCACATAAAAATAATAATTTATGCTTAGAAACATAAAAATTAATAATATTTATGTATCAAAGGATAATTTTAGGCGTGAAAATAGCAGCCAATTCACAGGCACTTTAATTTTTTCATCAGCTTCTTGTTGAGACAAAACAATTAAGCACTACAGCTGTAATAATTAAATTATTTGTATATTAATCTTAACATTGTTTTTTATTTTATTCACAGAAGGTATGTCACCACCAATCAACAGAAATCAGATTTCTTGCAAGCTGTCCTAATACACATGCCAGATGTATCTTTGAGATGAAAGTCACAATATCCTTATGCAGTGTTCAAAATGAGTTCACAATTGTGAGTATTCAACTTTTCTGTTTTAGCTAAAGTGATGGTTGTTGTGTAGTGCATGTTTGAATTTCAGAATTTTAACCCATGTTAAACAAAACGCAGCACATTGACCACTGTTCTTTGTAGGTCGGCAGCTTAAAAATAAGGAAGACCCTAAAACATTTGTATTCATATACTTTGGATATCATATGTGATTCTCAAGATTTTCAACAATTAATCTGCATTATGTTATAAATGCAGCCATATTAAACAATATTATTTTTCAAAAATTAAGATATAATCTTCCTAAAAAAATAATTTGTGTATTGGCTTACTTTGATGTAGTAGTTGACTAGAACATGACAGTAACAATTCTACTACTA